ATTCATTTTCTTTCGGCTTAGACCCTTTATTAATCAGGGGTTGCTACAGTGGAATGAACCGCCAGCTTATCCATCATGTTTTATACAGTGGACGCACTTCCAGCTGCAACCCAGTACTGAGAAACATCCACACTCCTTCACACACATACACTATGGCAAATTAAGTTTATTCAATTCACCAGTACCACATGTCTTTGGACTGTGGGTGAAACCGGAGCACCCGGAGGAAACCAACATAAACAAGGGGAGAACATGCAAACTCCACACAGAAACGCTAACTGACCCAGTGGGTGCTCGAACCAGTGACCATCTTGCTGTGAGGGGACAGTGCTACTGAGCCACTGTGTTGGCCATGAATCACTTTATAAACGTTAATTCACAATACTGTAATACATGTGTTGTTCGTTGTTTGTTCATGCTAATAAATGTATGAACTGACATTAACTAATTCAACTCTATTATATAATAGTTACCAAAAACTCTAAGTAAGAAAATGCTTTTTTTTCCTTGTGGATGCATGCATATACCCAATGTTCCAGAAAGAACAGAGCATTTGGTTACAGCTATACCTGAGAACCCGAGAGACACATCAAACACTAGCGGAGAGCAATCCAGAGAGATTTATAATCGGGTCTGTGGCATTTGTAATCATGTCTGCGGCACTGACCTTCAATTACAGCTGTTTTGCAATCATTCTTTTTCAAAGGAGCATTTACCTTTTTTTTTTCTTTTTCTGATGTCTTTCTTTTCACTCAAGGCTGGAGCTGGTTTGTTTGAATGTTGGTTTGTTAAAACCAAGTTTAATTCTTGATGGGAATCTGTGCCAATCTGGCAAATGGGAATAGTCTGTGTCCATGTATTTCTTTGCAAATGTCTCTTCACCTTGTTTCCCCCTGCATTAGCAGCAGATGGTTTTATCATCAGATAAACCATGCATTTTTCCACTCCCACGGGTTTATTTGGGGGAAAAAACTCTCCTGTGTACCTAAGGAAGAGAGTGTGCTGAGTTTTTAAAGTTTTAAAAGAGATCTTGAATGAATTAGGGTCTTTATCCAATGTAAAAATGTAGGGGATGCATTTAAAACTGTCCTTAAGGGGGTGTTCACACTTGCTCTCTTGGTCTGTTTGTTGTAGACAAACAAACATTCATTCATTCATTTTCTTCAGCTTAGTCCCTTCATTCATCAAGGGTTGCCACAGCAGAAGAAACCCCCAACTTATCCAGCATATGTTTTACACAGTGGATACCCTTCCAGCTGCAACCAAGTACTGGGAAACACCCATACACTCTCACATTCACACACATTCATACACTACGGTCAATTTAGCTTATTCAGTTCACCTACAGCACATGTATTTGAACTGGAGGAAACTGGAGCACCCGGAGAAAACCCACGCAAACACAGGGAGAACATGCAAAGTCCACACAGAAATGACAACTGACCAAGCTGAGACTCAAACCAGCAACCTTCTTGCTGTCAGGTGACAGTGCTTAACACTCAGCCACCATTCCACCCAAAAAACAACATTTTTTATATATATTATTGTCTTTTAGCTGAATATTTTGTTGAACATCCAAAATAATGGTGTGAGCTGGGCTGAATGGGCTTATAAGAGGTGTGTAATGGTGGCATGTTATTTTTACTGGTTGAAAACCTCCAAATAGTTTACAATTGTGGAAAGAAGCCAAAACAGTGCCCAGAATTCAACTGTTACATATATATACAAAGATCTATTGCAATAAGACACAATTATGAAGCCTGTAATGAATAGGCAAGTTTGATTTATACAAAACTAAATAAATAAATAAATAAAATATTTTGCTCAAGCATTCTGTCCTTTTTAGAGTGTCATCTTGTCACACCTCATCTTGCTGTTTTGTTTTGTTTATATCTTTGGTCTGTGCTGCATATATATTTCAAATCAAAAAGTTTGTCAGGAAGCGGATCATGGTCTTTTCTGGAGTTTCAGTCCGCTTGTTTGGTGTCCATCAGTGATTGGATGCCAACGTTCACATTAGGGCTGTGTGATTTGGGGAAAATATCTAATTGTGATTTTTTTAGAACGGATATTGCGATTTGATTTACGATTAAATTCAAACTTCAAGTTGATTTTAATTTAATTCAAGCTTCAGCTAAATAATCTGTGAAATAATTCTGCGACAGCTCTTAAAATGTACCTGTTTTTGTTCAGTGTCTATGACTTTGAAACTAATGATGATGATGCCTCACTACACCATAGCAGAAAGTCAAGCATGTTTAATTTTCTGAAGCATAGCGGACTGGTTTTGAAGCACTTCACCTCAGATGTTATTCGTTATTCTTGTTTACATACATATAATTTATATTGCAAACTTTTACGATTAACTAATCCCAACGTTTCAAATTGCGATTAGATTTAAATTAATTGCACAGCCCTGGTTTACATTTATTCAGATTAACTGCACTAACAGATTAGTTGCACCAGAGTTTGTTGTAATTGTCCTAAATATGCTTGCATGGTTTTCCTCCGGTTTCCCCCACTGTACAATGACATAGAATGGTATAGGTGAATTGAATAAACTAAATTGGCTGTAATGTATGAGTGTGTGCATGAATGAGAGAGTGTATGGAAGTTACTCAATACTGGGTATTAAACATATGCCAGAGTAGTTGGCGGTTAATTCCTCTGTAGCAACCCCTGATAAATCAGGGACAAAGCTGAAGGAAAATCAATGGATAACTGCCAAGTACAGTATGAACACACTTTCAAGAAATGCATTTTACGGTTGATTCACTGCAAAAAGCTCACTGGTTCGAGCCCCGACTGGGTCAGTTGGCATCTCTGTGGGGAGTCTGCATGTTCTCCCTGTGTTTGCGCGGGATTCCTCCGGGTGCTCCGGTTTCCCTCACAAGTCCAAAGACATGTGGTACAGGTTAATTGGGTAAGCTAAATTGTCCGTAGTGTATGAGTGTGAATGAGTGTTTTTGGATGTATCCCAGTACTGGGTTGCCGCTGGAAGGGCATCCGCTGCGTAAAACATATGCTGGATAAGTTGGCAGTTCATTTCGCTGTGGCGAATCCAGATTAATAAATGGACTAAACCAAAAAGAAAATGAATGAATGAATGAATGAATGAAAGTGGCATTTTATAGCTGCAGATGCTGCCAAACATCCCATTCTGCACACACACAGAGCAGAGATGCGATCATTTTCCAAGCTTCATTATGACACGCAGCTTGTCCAGATGTGCAACGGGAAAAAGCAGCTCTCATTCTGTCTCGAGCACCTCTATATATTTGCGAATTATACATTGACGATAAGGGGGGTCAACTGTTTCAGTTAGTTTGTGTAATACACGCTTCAGTCATTTATATATTTATTTTTAATTACATCTAGTTTATTAATAAAATGTATAAAGGTTTTCAGCCTTTTTAAGGGATATTTAGTGTATTTTGAACCACAGTACCCTTTCATTAGCTATTTCAAATGATACTGTAGATGAAACTACAATCTAATCTAATTTGATTTTATTTTCAGGCTAAATACAGATATTAACACCTTTTTCACGAGAAATCAAAATCTTGTAAACAGTGTTTAATGGTGTTCTAGATCTGCCACTTTCAGACATTATTCATGAACAGACTGATTGACACAATTATGCTTTAACAATAGTTTGGACTGTTATCGGGGTGGTCAAATGTATATTATTTATTATTTTAATTATTAACATTATTACTTAAAATACAGATCATAGTGAAATATTTCTCAGTGTCATGCATATATATAATATATACGTATATACAGTTGAAATCAGAATTATTAAATGCCCTTTTAATTTCTTTTTCTTTTTATAAATGTTTTCCAAATAATGTTTAACAGAGCAAGGAAATGTTCACAGTATGTCTGATAATATTTTTTCTTCTGGAGAAAGTCTAATTAGTTTTAGTTTGGATAGAATAGAAAATATAGATAGAACATTTTTTTGGGGAGGTCAAAATTATTAGCCCCTTTAAGCAATACTTTTTTCGATAGTCTACAGAACAAACCATCATTATACAATAACTTGCCTAATTACCATAACCTGCATAGTTAACCTAATTAACCTTGTTAAACCTTTAAATGTCACTTTAAGCTGTATAAAAGTGTCTTAAAAAAATATCTAGTAAAATATTAATTACTGTCATCATGGCAAAGATAAAATAAATTAGTTATTAGAAATGAGTTATTAAAACTATTATGTTTGGAAATGTGTTGAAAAAGTCTCTGTAAACAGAAACTTGGGGAAAATAAACAGGGGGCTAATAATTCAGTGGTTTAATAATTATGACTTCAACTGTATATGTGTGTGTGTGTGTGTACAAGAAAGAACATTCTTCGTATTGTTTCCATACCTTATTATAATAAATACAGGCTATTCTATTCAAAACTACGTCTGAAACTTTGAACAACAAGAACTTCTTTATTTACATGATGAATGCCTCCTGGTATTTCTCGTTTGCATTTCTATATCGCTTAAATTAAAGCGTTTTCTAAATGAATAAAAAATGCTTGTTCATTAAAAAAGCCCAGCTCAACATTGAGCGCACGCGCTGTGTCGCTCTGCCGCTGGGGGGCCAGGATTAGGGCAACAAGTCAAAAAGTTTTTGCCACAAACCAAAGTGGTAAAAAAGCGCAATAAAGGGTACAAGAGGAAAAACCGCTGGACTAGCTGCATCATGCACGCTAAACCAGTCAGCACGTGCCACATTAAAAATAATTAAAACTACAGTGAAATATAAGCACTTGAATGATGAAGTAAATTAATTACACCACGATATACAGAAGCTGCATTAATTTGATATACATCAAAAAAGCAACACCAGCTTATAATTATAGAGTGTATCGATTAATAAATCACTTCATATGCAGCAGGCTTATCATACTCTTTTACTAAATAACTAAATAACCGATTAAACTATCTCCAGGGAATTTGCAAGAATTCACGCAGTTTGACGGGACCAAAGCGAACATAACTTTACCTTCTGTGATCGTTAATCCGTTGAATTATGGCAACATTAATCCACAGAAAAATGTTCTTTGTGTAATCCAGTTTGCTGAAAGAGCTTCCAAGACTCTTCTGTGGCGTGGATAAAGTTTTTTGCTAGGGAGTTCTCCTTCTCCAACTCCTTTCTCCCCTCCCCTCACGGTTGTTTTAATAAACTTTCCCCTCACCGTCGTTCCCCGACGGGAGAATCTCCGCGTGATGACATCATCAGCTGCTCCGTGTGGAAACGCGCCTCAGGCTTTTCTTTCCTCTGCCGCCTCCCACAAGTCCAGCTTTGTTTGATTCTTTCTATGATTGTACGGCTCAGGAACTCGTCTGAGGTCAATTAGCATGACAGCAGACAGCGCTGGGGGTTAATCGGGCCATCTGTGACTGAAAATCAAAGGCAGAATATTACACACCACCTCCATTTTGATGGTTGAACTTCTGAGTCGTCTGGTTTCTGTTTTGATGTTTCGATTTTGGCGGTTAACTATATGGATGGAAGAAATAATCGTTGTTTAATGTCAATTATATCATGATATATGTTATTTATATCATAACTTCCTTCAAAAAGACAAGCTCAGCTTCCAAATAAACGTAAGGGTATTCAACCCCCCACACAAGCATATATGATAATACATTCATTTCTTCTTAGTCCCTTTGTTAATCTGAGGTCTACACAGCGCAATGAACCCGCAACATATCCAGCACATATTCCAGCATATCTTAACCAGCATATGCGGATGCCCTTCCAGCTGCAACCCATCACTACGAACAATTTAGCTCACCCAAATCACCTATAGCGCATGTCTTTGGACTTGTGGAGGAAAACGGAGCACCCAGAGGAAACCCACACGAACATGGGGAGAACATGCAAACTCCACACAAATGCAACCGACCCAGTCGAGGCTTACACCAGCAACGTTAAATGTATTATCATATATGATTGTGTGAGGGTTGAATACCATTTATACCATATTGCTGAGAGGCGATCGTGCTACCCACTGTGCCACTGTAATGCCTTAATGATAATACAGTAAATGCTTAATATTCTGTTATTTTATTTACCCTCAGCCTATCCAAAGTGTGTGTGCATTTATACAGTAAAATATTACATATTGGGTGACATGGTGGCTCAGTGATTAGCCATGTCGCCTCACAGCAAGAAGGTCATTGGTTCGAGTCCCGGTTGGTTCAGTTGCCATTTGGAGTTTGCATGTTCTCCCTGTGTTAACTAAATTGGTCCTAGTGTATGTTTGTGAATGAAAGTATATGGATTTCCTAATATTGGGTTGCTGCTGGAAGGGCATCCGCTGTTTAACATATGCTGGATAAGTTGGCGGTTCATTCCACTGTGGCGTGAATGAACATTACTCTTTTTTTAAAATCGCATCCTAATGAATTACAAATGCAAGTCAACAACTACTGGCATTTTGAGTTATTAAAACATGCACGCATACAGGCAAAACAAAATTAATACTTATGACTCAAGACAATTGAGGTATAGGCTATTATAAAGTGAAGCCATTAGTTTGTGTAAGAAAGAAAGAAAGAAAGAAAGCAACAACACTGCAAAATACATATGCCAGGCAGAACCAAAAGGTGATTTTCAGACTTGAACTGTCTTCTTGGTTCTTCACGGAACTATTAAAGCCAATGAAGATGCTTTATTTTTAACAGTGCATTAATCTGTAAAAAGTGATTAGTTACTTAAAGCGAGTAAACCAATTGCCTTAAAAGAAACACAAATCATACAAAAATAAAGTAAACCCATTGTAACTTGTAAATGTTGAGCTCACTTAATTTTTATTATTATGCAAATTGTACTACTTTTTTAAAATAAAAGTTATATATATATATATATATATATATATATATATATATATATTTATATATTTACATTTAGTCATTTAGCACACGCTTTTATCCAAAGCGACTTACAAATGAGGACAAGGAAGCAATTTACACAACCAAGAGCAACAATGAATAAGTGCTATAGGCAAGTTTCAGGTCTGTAAAGTCTAAGAAGGGAAGTATTAGTAGTATTAGTTTTTTTTTTTTTTTTTTGTACAGTTAGTGTGATATTCAGAGAGGCAATTGCAGATTAGGAAGTGTAGTGGAGACTAAATAGTTGGGTTTTTAGTAGTTTCTTGAAAGTAGTGAGTGACTCTGCTGTTCTGATGCAGTTAGGGAGTTCATTCCACCAACTGGGCAGATTGAGCGTGAGCGTTCGCGAAAGTGATTTCTTCCCTCTTTGGGATGGAACCACGAGGCGACGTTCATTCACAGAACGCAAGTTTCTGGAGGGCACATAGATCTGCAGAAGCGAGAGCAGATAAGAAGGAGCAAGGCCAGAAGTCGCTTTGTAGGCAAACATAGTCATATATATATATATATAATTTTTATTTTTTTTCAGCTTTTCCAGCAAAATGACAGTCCCTAAAATAAATCTGCTGTTTCAGACTCCAGTGTGTTTTAACTGCAATACAGGCTATACACTTTTAAACTGCCTTTATTCCACAGAAAATAATACACAATATTTACGAAACTGTATGTCAACAATCCCTAGAGGATATACTACTGTATATTCACTTTGAAATGTCCAGCCACTGGCCATGGGAGCTGAGAAACTGTCAGATTAATAAAAGCTGTAAAAAAAAATGGGTTCAGCTGTAGCGCTGTTTAAAGAGAATGTTAAACATCCACAATGATGACGGATCCACAATGCAGTTCGGCAATGCCTGACATCACCCAATAAAAGTGAATGGGAAGCGTTAAAGCTGACCCCCAACCCGTGTGCTCTCCGAATCACTGTCTATATCCCCTGTGTTGCCGGAGTGAAAATCAGCTGTAGTGCATGTAATGAGACTCCCCGTTTCATGCAAACTCTTCCCTCTTTCACCACTTGAAAGTCCCACCTAAACAGTAGAGGTGAGAAAACATCCTGCTGAGACAGGCAAGGTGGGTTCATGTCCTCTTAAGGAAAACACTTACGACAAAAGTATGGGTCAAATTATTTGGAAATAAAGCCCCAAACAGTATTCCTCCACAATTTTATTTAAAAAAAAATGAATCGTGAACTCTATGTGCTGTGCTTGACAAATCTCTTCTTCAGCAGTTATCTGTCCGCCTACACATGAAAAAAAGTGTCTTCACCTGCTGGAAGCCTAAAATAGAAACGAAGTGGAGGTTATGCTACAGCATCGTTCAGTTCAGGTAAAGATAATCAGCATTTATAAAATGTGTCCTGCTCCTTATATGAAGTTTTGCTCATTAGTGTGGCTATTTCTATCTTTCTAGTTAATTAAAAAGTCTCCTTGCAAAAGATGTTTAAAATATTTTAAGTACTTCCCTAACGATCTTGAATATCAGATATTTAAATTTATTCCAAAAGAACAGAATTTTCACAAATTATGTTTTTCAAATGTTCATATACCTACAGTATGTTTCTTCCCTAATGATCATTTGCAGCCTTTTGTTGTAGTTGTGCACGAGTCTCTCAGCTGTTGAGCAGCAGACTGAAACTTCATATGGAAAAAGTGGAGAATAACATTGTTGCCAACTATTTTCAATGTAAAGGCGCTAAGCTCTGCCTGAAAAGTCACTAAAAGTTACTTTTCCTTTGGCTTAGTCCCTTATTTATCAGAGGTCACCACAGCAGAATGAACCGGCAACTATTCTGGCATTTGTTTTACGTAGTGGATGCCCTTCCAACCGCAACCCAATACTGGAAAACTACGGTGGCCGAGAGAGCTTAACGTGCTGCAATTTAAGAAAGCACATGCAATTACACAACAAATAAAGAAACGATCTTCATCAATTTGACAGCACATGTGTTGCAAATCTGTCACAACACAAACAACTGAAGAAACACGCTCAAATCGGTCACAACACTAACATTTTTCAAGGGGACCCAAAAACACGACAGACCCTGCTGAGATATGGATGTTATGTTATGTAATCAGGATATTAAAATAAACGAAAAACAACTCACCTTTCAAAGACCACCAATAACTTCACTGAGCAACAGTCACGGTGTCATGACCACAGGTCATAATAACACATCCATATTTCAAGCAGGGTCCATCATGGTTTTGGGTCACCTAGAAACATTTCCATTGTGCTACATGCATATTTGAAAGTGTTGTGATCGATTTGCAGTGTGTTTCTTCAGTTGTTTGTGTTGTAACATATTTGCAGTGTGTTTCTTCAGTTGTTTGTGTTGTAACATATTTGCAGTGTGTTTCTTCAGTTGTTTGTTATAACCAATTTACAGTGTGTTTCTTCAGTTGTTTGTGTTGTAACATATTTGCAGTGTGTTTCTTCAGTTGTTTGTTATAACCAATTTGCAGTGAGCTTATTCAGTTGTTTGTGTTGCGACCTATTTGCAACATGTGTGCTGTCAAATTGATGAAAATCATTTCTTTATTTGCTGGTGTTTTTTGTAATTGCATGTGCTTTCTTAAACTGCAGCGTGTTAAGGTCTCTTGGTCACCGTAGAAAACACCCATACCCTCTCACATTCAAACACACACTCATACACCACGGCCAATTTAATTTATCCAGTTCACCTATAACGCATGTCTTTGGACTGCACCCAAGGGAAACTTATTCAAACACAGATAGAACATGCAAACTCCACACAGATATGCCAGAACCAGTGACTGCACCACTGTGACTCCTATACCTTATAATGTGCCATCTAATTTTTTGAAAACTGTAGTTTTTTAAATTGAATTGAATTGAATTGAATTTTATTTGACAGATTTTAGACAAACTGTACAAAAAGTATTCCATACACTTTGTTAAAAAAAACTGTCGAGGATAAAAACACAATAAAGCCCTGGGCTTATTTCCATTGTGGTCCTCTGTTAAATTAAAACAATGTATGGCTTCATAATACTAATGAAGAATAAAACAAACAGTCGCCACAGCGGTACAAACAGCCAACCTATCCGGCACAATGTCCCTCCAGCCGCCAACCTATTCACACTCAAGTAACATAATTTAAAAGATCCTCATCCACCATGCAAAACTAATTATCCTCATCAAACAACCATCTTTTAATAGCTTTTTTGAACAACCTTAAATCTTTTATTTCCTTGATTGCTTTTGGTAGTTTGTTCCACATGATTGCACTTGTATATAAAAACATATTTTTCCCCACTAAACTTCTAAATTTAAATAAACAAATATTAAAATCCCAACTCCTAGTACTGTATGAATGCTGT